AACGGTTATCGAAGACTGATAGTCGCTGGACGTGATCTGCTCGGAGAAGCCAAGTCTCGCAGCCATAGAGCAACACGGTACGTACAGTTGCGCAATACACAAGCCCTTTCAGTGAAAGGGATATTTCGCGCCGGCGTCAGAGATGCCGCAGATTAGTAAACGCTAATCTAGTTTTGATCACGCATTGAGAGATCTCCTTACCCACACCTTCGCCATCCGTTATGCAACTTCCAAGTTAGACAAAGCTTTCGACTACTTCCAGAGTGTCATTACCCAACGAAAGTGCAGGAATGGGTTCCTGCCAATATTGCAACCATACGTTGCACTTTGAAGATGCAAATGACATACCATAGCGAGTAACCTCAATTGCCAAACAGTTCAACGACTCTTAGATGGTTGGTGCGTTGTCACTCGGTAAGGCAATATCATCGGCATACTCTATGTCTAAGACTCTGTTCCCAGGAAGAAGCTCCACTCCAGCGTTCGTTACATTATGTAACGTGTTTTGTAGGACATTATCTATGGAAAAGTTGAAGAGGAACGGAAAGATAGGGCAACCCTGTCGCACCCCACTGTCGATAATTTTTAAATGCTGGTTTTGTCTGCCGTAGTGAACCTGAGAATGAGACTTTAGCTCCTTGAGATTTTGAGGAAATGGGGTTTACAAGATCTGCATTAACTGTAGATCAGGATGATTGTCATTCGTCGTTTTTTAAGAGAGTTGTGCACTCAGTGTTCGGAGTGCATAAAATTCGTCCTGTTTTCACCGAAGAACAGGTATGGGGAAGCTGGTGTGAATCGATTACCGTATCTATTTAAAGGAATTCAGAAACATTCTCCTTTGAGGATAACACAAGCATTAGTGAGATCCACTACCGTCGAATTTGTCCACCGTATGGGCTCCTCGCACACAGGAACAGATTATTTGCTGTTCATCATGAGATAATCGAACAAACTTGTGCTCGCTCAGCATCTGAAAGGGGAAATCGAAAGAATAAACAAGGGTTTGTATCCTATTGCCGGGGGAGGGATTATTAGCAAGTACACATTGCAGATGAGAAGCAAACGGATGAAGATTTATTTCATGTATTTTGGTTGTTAGTGATCGTTGCACTGGTGAGATATTTGGATTGTGTCAGTATATTGATTTTTCATTCGACGGTGTTACTGATTGAGGTGACAATGAAGTGGGTGAATTTTTCAAACCGGCTTTTCGATGGACTTCAATTTTCCCCTGTAATACTTTTTTAAATGTCAGGCGGAAGATTTGTGCCCCGTTGCGTTCTTGTCGATCTGGATCCTCATACCATGGAATCTGTTCGGGGTACCCCGATGGGTCAACTGTTCCGTCCAGATAACTACATCATTGGCCGTGCTGGCACAGGTAATAATTGGGCCCGCGGACGGTATACAGACGGAGCTGAGCTGTCGGATTCAGTGATGGATGTGGTACGTAAGGAAGTCGAGAGCTGTGATCTGATTCAAGGATTTCAAGTTATCCACGCGCTCGGAGGTGGGACCGGATCAGGAATGACATGTCTGCTACTGGAACAAATCAAAGCAGGTTGGCCCGATCGTATTGTGAATACATTCTCCATATTCCCCTCGCCAAAAGTGAGTCAGACGTGGAGATAGCAGATCAAATAAACTACCGAAGGATGTAAAAAGGTTCAGGTTTTGATGCGATGTTTATTACTTGATTAAGCTATATATATTGACAAAGAACTGAAAATAAGTTCTCTAGCATGCAATTTGGAATATGGAATCTGTATATAAAATCACCAGGCTGATAAATGGCAAATACCAAAACCGTTAGTTATAAAAGGCTACATTTATTAGCACTTTGGAAGCTTGAGGAACTCATTGGTTGTTCAACACCATATATAATTCGTCCGCCTTTTCTCTTCTTAGATAGAAAATTTTTGCCGTACAAGTAGAGTACCATTGTGTTGTCGTTATTTTAACTGATGAGGTTATATTACTCATGCAAACTGAGGCTGTCAAAAATAGTACTTGAATGCCATGGAAATTTGGGACAACTCTTTCCTCACTATTCCCCCAATCCACTGAACTTCTAATCCGTGTGCAGAAATTTGTTCATCTGACGCGTCAAACGGTTAACCCCTGATAACCACACAATGCAAGTCAAGGTATATCAGTGAACAGTGGTTTGTGGGCTCTATACCAAAATGTACGTCTGATTTGCAAATACCAGCTGTCTAGACCATGACCATTGATTGTAATCTTAATCGCAGGAGTATTCGACAGTAGAAACACTGAAACATCATGAAAACAAACCTTGGTAGCATGCAAACCAAACGTAATCCGATGCAACGGTTACCTGGGTAGTTAGTGTGAAAATGAGTTAACCATTCATGCATCTGAGCAAGTAAATGAGGAAGTCCGAATTTCGAATTCGAAGTGGGTCAATAAGTTAGTGAGAACTCACTTTGTACAAACATCTGCGGTTCAACAATGTTTGAAAAGTAACATGTGATTAGTCTGACGCAAACGCGATAAATCCTATTGTTGCATGCCCTCAATTGGTATTGTATGAAACTATTTAAATCATGGAATGCGGAAGTTTACGCCGATGGAATTGCCCACGTGACCCATTTCCCGCAAAAAAAATTCTGAACAGCTTGCTCGATTTGTTATCGGCTATGCATTCTATTTGATCCTTCAACTAGTGCATCTCCTACATTATTAGAATTGTTTTATATGGCACGTCACGTGACTTTTTATATCATGAGTGCCAAAGATTCATTTTCGTCTGAACATCCCACTGGAATTTAACGCTTTATTTTCACGACCTTTAAAAATTCGTTATACCATACAAAGTTGATAGAACTGTGCTGTTTGAACTCTGATGGTAATGCCGTTACAGAAAAACCAACTTGGTGGTGCAACTAAATAGCACAAATAAAAGTGTACACTTGTTTACATTTGCTATTTTCTACCGTTTGTGTACCGTAGACTTGTGCTTTTTTTGATGGCCGATGGTTTGAATAAAAGTGCACGCGACCATCGATTCGAGTAATGTCAGCTACTCAAACAACATCGGAAGGCAGGTACCAGGACACTATTGGTCAACCAAAAGGAGAATCCCATGCCAGCGGGACAAGTGAACCACAAATCTTCAGAACAGTGCTCACACTTACCTATGGCCCACTTTGAATTCTTCCTGTTGAATGAGAAATGAAGTATGAATGAATGAATGAATACCGACCGTGCCAAGCGCACCTTCATCTGCGATATTAGCTGTGCGCGGGCATCCGCAGAGAGGCCTGAAGCATCGATTATCGTGATGTGCCTTAGAGACAATCACCAGTTGATTATCCCAAGGCCTAAACCGAAATTGGAGCAGATGTTCGTATGTGTAATTGTAGTCTGAAATGAAATCGAACGGGAATGGCACATACTCACCTGTTCTGCTTTGATCTGACTATCTCCTGTTAGAGGACAAGTTATTGAAGTAGACATCATCAATCGTGGTCAAAAGATTAGATAACAGATTGGTTTGGATCTTTACCCAGATTGATTCTAATAGCGGGATCCGTGGATCAACCGCGGGCCTAGTGGCATTTCCCGATGGCACTAATCCGTGAGCTTATTGACCACGAAGACAACAGCACCGCTACGAAAAAGATGCAAGAAGAACCTTCGGCCGGACAAATCCTTGTCACACTACCGCAGTATGCGATTCAACTACTGGAGGATGATTTATTCGGTGTCATCGGTGTCATTCGGTGTCATCCACTGACCAACTAAAAGTTGGTCAGTGGATTTTTCCTCCTAGGTTGTTGGGATAATTTGCCACGAGTATCAGTGATTCACTATCTCGGTTTACAGTGATCTCAAGATTCAGAAAATGAGCCCCGGGATGATAGCAAAAGGGGGATCCAAGTCCGCAGACTGAATTACTGCGCTTAAATGTTCATAAATCTGCCTAGCCTATCTAAAAAATAACTTCATCCTTCACTTAGGCCCCAAGAGTGGAACTGATCCTTTGTGTCTGAAATGCATCAAATTTCCGATTTTCCGGTTGTTGATAACTTGAATGAACTAATATTTTCGGCTACATAGGCAACCGGAGTATCATGTTGATGTTTTTTTATTACACACCAGTGTGTTATAAACAGCGGTCGAGGCGAAGCCCATAGTCACGAAGACCTGCTGTTCAGTGATAGTAACCGGCAAGCCCCGGGGCTTGGAGTAGTGAACCACATAAGGCCCCGCTAGCCCAAGCGTGGTATGGAAGCAGTTCAATTGAGAGTGACTGAATGTATGCCGGGTATCAGATTATTGTCAGTTCGATTTTGCAGCTTTTAGAGTGGGATTAAATGGAGAGATCCCATTCCATTTGAGATTCTCCGTATGCACAATTTAGCGTAGACGGTGCAAAAGTTCAAACGGATATAAACCGGCATTAGACTATATTCATTTATTGGTTATTAATCTACCATTCACCAATTGTGCTAGACCAGACGAAACTTCTTACTGTTAGGCTAAAAAAACCAATATCGGGTGCGAATGCATAGATTCCACTTGTCTTTCACGCAGTAAATTTTACCACTCAGCCCTTGTAGACAACACTTCCAGTCAATCAATCAATCAATCGAAGTGTCACCAAATTCGAATGTTTCACAGGGTATTTCTCATGGTTAATGCTGTGACCGTTCTCTTATAAAATCATCTTGCACCATCAATCTGTAAAATGTTATCAAATGCCTAATCACTTCAGACAAATTATCTGATCATGACTTCAAGTCATAAAATGGAGAGCGCTTCTGTGCATTAAAACTGAATTGTGTTTATCAAAAAGAATTTCATGACTCATGAGAGCGATTACTTTATCTCATAATTATTCAAGCTGTTGGATCAGATATAACCACAGGGATATTTTCACGGATCGGGATTGTCTTGGCAAAGCCTCTGATAGAAACCTACATCTTGTAGCCGAAATTGCAGCTGTCGTTCAAATTGCACACACACACACACACATGATTATGAAGCTTACCAATCCAGTTATATCAAAAGTGCCAATATTTGTTTGCTGTTTCACTGGTAAAACTAGGTGCACCTAGTTGCGATCCCACTGAATGAAATACACCAACAGAGAACCCCGCACAAAACATGTGACCGCTGGATAAAAACGTATCGCAGTTTGTGCTGTGTGTAAATTTCGGTTGCTATCCTGATTTATGGTGCTGTCACAAGTTAATAGTTCTAGTAGAGTAAATAGCAGTTATTGTGTCACACCAAAAATGCTTTGGAGTGATCTTGGTTCTTTCATTCTTTTAAAATCAGGTCTGCATATTACAATGATTAAAGAATTTGATAAGAATCATTGATTCTTCAAAATTTGAGCTGCTTTTTGAAGCAACTGAATGAGGTTGTGGAGCACTAGACTCCCTCCATCAGCAGTACTTCTACGTATTCCTTACAAGTGTGGATCGCACTCGTGGAATATGACTCTCGTTTTAAAAATACATTTCACTTTCCAATATCATAGGTCAAAACACAGGTTGTAGGCGAACATGTTTTCGGTGACTTCCTTATCAAGCCAGTACAATCACATTTATGTGAGAAAATAACAGGAAAGTGTTGTGTTGGGGTCAAACAGTCAAGGTCAGATAATTATAGCAAAAGGGTGGGGTAGGGACACATTTGTCACTCGTTCTCATGTTCTGATAAGAACGGGTTACGTAATCGTTGATAATCGATTTGGGTCATCGCAACGCTCAT